GTTTAATTCCGCGCATGCTTGAAGAAACTACGTCCAGCCTTTAGGTCTTCGGTCATCTCGTACTTGTTGCGGAGCTGTAACGTTGTTTATTAAATCGAGCATGTGTGAACCAGGTATGGTTTTACCCTTAAGCACAAACTCACCAGACTCGGACCAGGAGCTGAGATATTTAGCTTTAGACATTTTGTCCAATATATACTTGCTGTTTTTCACACGTTTTATCGTTACGTTCTTTAGAACTTCAGACGTCACATCATCTTTTGACTTGTCTTCAGCATGTGCTTCGACAGAGTTAACTTTATGATCGTGTTCAGGGCTTGGTAGCGATAGCGTTAAAAAACTACTCTCACCATCGCCTAGTTTAACAATTGTTAAATATCTGGTTAAGACGTTTGAGTAAAGTTTCGAAATTGTCGAAATTGTTCAGGTGTTTTAGCTTTATAGTCGATCATGAGATAACCGAAAGGACTCTTGACGGCATCTTGATAACATGCCATAAAATATTTTGTGTTACCAGAATACATTTGAGGCCCAACACTGCTACTTGATTAGCATCGCGGGGTTTTTTTAAACAATATTAAATAATTTGAGTTCAAACTGATGGTTCTGCTGGATTTACCTTGAACAAACAAATTTTGTACGATAAGAATTGCAGAGAGAATACGATGATGAACGTATTGCGTGAAGACTTTTTCAATTTCAGAATTATCGCTTGCTTCTTTCATCATATCGTCGATAATCAACAAATTAGTTTTATCACGGGGTAGTAGATTATCATCATTCAGACTCTGAGGTATACCTTCAATGAATTTAATGTCATACAATTTAAGCAATTCGTCATACAAAGGTTGCCAACAGTCATACAGGAAAACAACATTATACATTTTTTTAGAAATCATATTTACAGCATTTTCCAAAAGCATTTTTACAAAAAAGGACTTACCAGAATTGGATGGTCCGCTTATGACACATGAAAATGGATGTTGAAGTCTGCAATCAAAATCAACCATTTCACGCATTCCTCTATACACTGAATTAAAAGCCATAAGGCAGAGTTGTGTAGTCGGGTAAAAGTCTTCGCTTGTTATACACCACCTTGAACTTTTTAACGACTGATTTGTTGTGGAGTGTGAGGTGTTTTATATTCCTGACAGTGTTGTCAGCTTGAGCTAAAATGTATCGAGTCATCGCCTGATGTCACATACCCATCAACCAGACCAATCAATGTGTCTAATCTTATCTTTTGGGAATTTTTAGCATTCAAAGTTATACCCTTAGCTTTCATGCAGACTTTACCAGAAGCGGTACGATAACCATACGACTTAGGCCCGCTGGAACAAAACTCGGTAATATAATCATCGACGTCTATTTCATCTGTCAAGTCCCCCAAATAATCCCCCAGAGGTGGCATCCAGTCACCGTCCTTGGATACAAAAATAACGCCATCTGTGTCAGAGTATAATAAACGATCGCCAAGTTTGTCCATCAATTTGTACAATTCTAACCTCCCGCAAGCCGATGTGTACGCGCCTACGAATACGTTAATGTCACATGTAATGCGATGACTATCTTCGGTAGGGTGAAATTGGACTAGCGCTACATCATCTGAGATGAAAGTAAAATATTTCAATGCATCAGTTTTACCGAAAACAATCGTGGTGAATTCTTCAGGGTCTCGTACAAGCTGCGTAACCGGATGCTGAGATTTCATCGCGAACCTCCCCCACAGGGGATTCAAAATTTGCTTGTTTATGGTCCTCTGGGCGGGGTTATGACTGATCTGTGAAAGGTCAAGTTGAATTCCCTCTCTCTCATAGTATTTGCGGATGTATGTCTCTTTTTCAGCATCAGTGGTAACGTTTGAAGGGTGCTTGTTGTTTTAAACGTAAAAACGTTTCAACGTATTCGCTAAACAACTTTTCCGACCTTTCAGGAAAATGCCAAACTTCGTCGACTTTGACCACGACATAACCTTTCTCAATCGCTTTTAAAAGTTCAACACTGACCCAGCACCCACTAAGAGCCCTCTCATCATCCATATGATTACATCTCGATGTTTGGTTTTCAGCGTGTGCGCATGTTCTGCATAACGGGAACATGAGTTTACCGCCGCATCTGTAAGGGAGGACCGGATGTAGTAATTTTCGGGGTGGATACATAGTTGCCTTAAGACCGTAATAATTTTCGATCGGCTGAAAGTCGTTGAAAATTATTTCGGGGTGCCCTATTGGATGGGTCTTTGTAGACATTTACAAAGGGATATAAAGATGTAAAATCGAGATAAGAAATGGTCTCCCCCTCCCCCACTTTGTGATACAACTTATAAGCATTGGTACGACCTCCGAAAAGCGCATCTCTTGGTTTCAGTCTTTCAGGGGCTGAATGAGTCCTCATAAATTCTATCACTGAAGGATCTGTTTGTTCCATTTTAGACCATTCGCATTCCCAAATAAACTCTACTTTCAAGCCATAAGCGTTTTGTAGAATTTCAATTTTTTCGTCAACTTGTCGTCTGAGAACACCAAAGGGTACACCATATTGGCACAACTGTTCCTTGAAGTCGAAAACCTCCCCTGAAGTAGTAGCGTACCATGCATCGAACTTTGCCTGATATTTTTCCGATAGGTTTTCATAACCATAATACTTTTTGTCAGGATAAGGTCCTACATAGTTCTCATTTTCTAATCTATTGAAATGATGCGGAAAGTAGCCTTTTTCTGTTGTGGTGAGATTTAATGCTGCCGGCATCTTAGACAGAGCCATCGGTATGAAGGATATGCTATCTATGTAGCGTTGCTTAAATGAAACATCGAACATGAAGATTCATTTACAACCTTGCATGATGATGTCCATTTGAAGACCTGCTTTACAAAAATATTCAAGAATTAGAAAGGAGTCAAATCCGGATGCGTTATGAGCTATGAAACAATAGCCTTCGTATTTGGGTTTTCTGAAATGATCGATCATTTTTTTCACACAGTCAGACCCTCCGGCTACAAGTCTTTCACCACAAAACGTTATTGCACACACAAAATTTGCTACGTGTCTCCCATTTTCATAACGAGTCTTGAAATCGTAAAAAATGTATTTATTCTGAGGGTCTTTGAGTGGTACTGTGTTAATGAAACACTCATGTTCTCCACCAGGGACAAGTTCTTCACGACATGCACCACATTGGGTTGGTGCACATATGTGTTTAGACTTTTTCTTATCGTACCGTCTATAACATTTTTTGCAGTATTTTATAACGTCGCAAGGTACTTTTTCTCCTTCAAGCACAGGTTTCTTATGAGCATCGTAGCAGTAAGACGATTTGCAGTAGCGCAAACAATCGGTACAATGAATGATTTTTTTAGGGTGCTTGTAACATTCAATGTCGAAGCAGACGTTACAGACATGCTTGCATTGATGATGCCTAGGGTCTGTGAACCTTTTATAGCAGAATTCACATACATAGCTAGCACCTATGAATGATTTCAAATTGAGAATCGTGTAGTAATGTTGGTCTTGTAAATAAAGGAACACCGTTTTGTTGTGAGGCTCTGTGTTATTTACGTAGGTTTGTAACACACCAGTGTTTGTCCTATAAAAAAACAACAATTTTGATGTCTAGCATGTTTTCAAATTTTGCTATGTCGTGAAAACCGACCTTGTCTTGGATAGCAAGACCCGCTTTATTGTGTATGATTGATGCACGGTTTTCTAATTCACACTCTGGTAATTGAGGCTCTAGAAAATGTGTTATACAGATAGAGAAACATAATTTGTTTGAAATATTTGTAGGTATAAACAAGCTCGTCTTTTTTCTTTTGATTACCTGATCAAACGCCAAATCCGTAAGTTTACGACGACCTCCTCCTAGTTTGTTCATTACAACCTCTGCTTCAATCTCAACAGTTTTGTTAACTGATAACCAATCATCACTCTGCAAAATTTTTTCAATTTGATCTGTAAAAAGATTAACGTCGTAATTATTACCCGGTGTTAAAACTGCATTTACATCCGATTTCAGAGAGGGGGTTCGAAGGCATAAATTGATGATGCTACCATCGCCACCAATCTGTCTAGCGAATGACACAATGTCATCCATGGTATCATGTAAACGTATGTGGTACGATGCTAAATCCTGAGATCTTATTTCACTCATATTCAATGTCCTACGCAACGACACACTATTGAAACGAGGCCTTGGTAAAACATGATATTCGTTTACATTACCGCCATCTCTCAACAATGTTTCAATGTCTATCTGACTTGTTGGCCTGGGCCGTAAAGGTCCCTCAACATTAGAGGTTGATGGTTGTTCATCATCGACATTTGACTGCTGTGTTGTTTCAATGGGCTCTATGCACGGCGGCGCGTGACGCATTTCCGGTAAAATTTAAGACCCCGAGTCTACTTCCGCCGATCGTACAGTACAGTGCCACAACAGGAGCGCTACTGATAAAAATGAGTAATGTTTTGGACAGTTGTCTTAATGTTTTATGCCATTATAGCCCACTTATATATGTTTATGTCAGCTACATAAATATGACATCTAAACGTTTAAAAGTGTCATTTCAAAGACGTGAGAACAGTACTTGCAGATACCACTGCTGTGTTCAGCAATGCACAGCGTCAAAAATTGAACTCTTACCTTAGTTTCCACACGTTTCCAAAAGAAAGTCGTGCAGAAGAGGTGGGTTGTTGATATTAAACGTGAGAATTTTACAGAAACAGAAAAAAACAAGAGTGTAGCTGATAATTTCAGTCTAGAAAACTGATCGAGGCTCGAGTGCCAACCGGATGCAGACATTTAAAGAAAGGAGCTTTTATGGCAAATAATAGTTTGTTTTCATTGCCTTTGAAGTAAAAAAACACTGAACATTAATATACATAAACATTTCTTAAGCTACTAAGTGCAATTTTTTAATTCAGAATAAAGACCTTTATTTTATTCACTGTACATATAAAATATAATTCACTGTATGTAATTTGAAATAAAAATTGTCAAAAAAATGTAACATTTTGAAAAAAATATTTTATTCAGATGAACAGAAAAAATGACATTGAATCAGTTGTTTTCTTGAATCAGGTGCTTCTTCTGTAACTTGTGCATAGAGAGGTATTTGGGCTTATACGTATTAAATAAATAAATAAATCACCCATCTGTTTCATGGAACTTAACACATAATTGATCCATTCCAAACAATTGTTCATGTGACAACTCACATTACACATTTCAGAGTAATGGGCTGTCTGGAAAAGCAAAGCAACCAAATGTTTGCATATCCCACTCTCAGCCAAACAAGAGCAGGAGCTATTAACTAGCAGACGATGGCATGGATCTTCTGACGGATGTCCGCTCCAGGATGAAGTAACACATAAAATTTTCTAGCTCTGAATCTCATAATGTTACCTAGAAAACAGAAACAAGAATATTATTAGGTTTTTAAAGAGAGTCATCAAAGGCAGTTCACTCAAAACTGAAAATTCTATTTCCTCATCCTTCACTTGTTCCAAACCTGTTTGAGTTTCTTTCTGATGTTTAACACAAACAAAAATACTTTGAAGAAAGCTGGAAACTTGCAACCACTGATATTCATAGTAGTTCTTTTTCATACTATGGAAGTCAATGGTTACAGGTTTTCAGCTTTCTTCAAAATATCTTCTTTTGAAAGGCATCTGCAGCAATATCATCAGATTAAACTACACAGTAAATCATTAATTTAAATGATTTAAAAGTAGCTCCCTTTAGTCACACTTTAAAATAAGGTTTCATTAATTAATGTATTTGCTCACTATTAAAATAACTATTTAATATTTAATAGTTAACATTATTAAACTAATTTACTAATGAATAAAAATCCAAAGTCATGCTTGTTAACATTAGCTATTACATTGTGAGTTAACAAGCACAATGAATAAGCATTTGTTCAAAAACGTAAAAAAACTAATAAATATTGAAATAGACAAATTGTTGATGTGAAATTAACTAATGACACCTTATTGTTTTGGGTCACCCTCCCATTTAATTACAATGTTATCGACTAAATAGAAAGCATGCTATCTACACTGTTACACTGCATCTGTCATCTCCACTGTTTCAGCAATAAATATCAGCAGTGATACAGTGCAATTTGTCTGTTGTGAATGGAACGGCATTGTATTATTTTATTCCTAATATATCTTGCTCAATAATCATGCTTACAAGCTATGACAGCATCTGTGTTTCTGTAATTATCCGAACTGAACAGTGGTGGTCACTTTAGAACAGTAAAAGTATGAATGGGACAGAATTTCATATGTATGCTGTCCTACTCTCAGCTGGTGAGGAGACTTCGATTTCTTCATAGATCTATCGGTAGTAATGAGCTCTCACTGAGATCTTATTCCTGCCCTGTTTTTACCTGACACTTTGAGACAGAATTACGTACACATATGATTATTTTTACTTGCGTGATAAAGCTGCAGATGGACGGATCGTAAGAGTATTAACGCTAAAGTTAGCCTTCAGGCTAGCTGAACTTACCTTCATAATTGCACAGGTAGGAAGATGCATACAACTTGAAACCCACCGTCATCATCATCGTCAAAACCACCATCTGTCAGTTGGCTGTTAACAGTAGCAGAAGAAATAGTTTCCTGAGTGAGTGCACCACCGCTCTGTTCACTGTTTAAAAAAGATTCCACATCTTCAGTCAAATTTAAATTCAATTCCTGTTCTATATACATTTCCAATTCATCCAGATTTGTAATTTGTAAAATAGGAATATTGTTAAAAGTTATGTCTCTAGAATTTGGATACATATCTGTCATATGTTGAAGAGATGTAAATATGTCTTCATCTCTGTCTGCATGCATTTCGATAGCTCTTTGCAGTCTAACAGATAGAGCATGGTCTGGTTGAATATTGTATGTATCATCTGTACGATTTTCATCATCCATTGTAATTATTGGTTTTAGGGCTGCACGATATTGGAAAAAATTGACATTGCGATTTTTTTTTTTTTTTTTTTTTTTTTTTTTTTTTTTTTTTTTCCCCCTGCAATATATATTGCTATATATATATATATATATATATATATATATATATATATATATATATATATATATATATATATATATATATATATATATATATATATATATATATATATATATATATATATATATATATACTTAAAACTAGGGCTGTGACGGTCACCATGACAACCACGTCACCGCGGTGGTCATTGCCACCTCGGTTGTCCATTGCCGCCGGCCGTAATACGTGACGTCACGCACTTTAAAACACAAATTACTGTTATGTTGCCAAGTATTACATATCTGTTAGAATATAACATTAGGCGCGATTCAGCAAGTTCAAGTTCAACCATGAATCTTGTTAGAAAACTAACTCTTACATCTGGGAACATTTTGGATTCGTGCCGACCGAGAAAGGTGAACGAATCAATTTGGATTAAGCTTTTTGTATGGGGGTTTTAAGTAAAGTGTGTTTTAATATTCACTGCTGAGTGCTGAGAGTCCAAACACTGAGGAGCAAATCCATCGATACGCAGATCCATGGGTCCCGAACCATGCAAGCTAGTGGCGATTGACGGCGAGGGGAAAAAAAGCCATGTAGGCTTAATCAACTCCTGTCTTCTAAACGCAGAAGCCCAGCTCAGCCAGGTATGGCAGAGGCATTTGCAAAAATGGCCAGATACAAAAGAGAAAGTGATAAATGGAAGACATTGACGAGAAATTGAGCATAGGCTATTTGGTAACTACTTAAGAACGCGCCGCTCCGCAGCGTAGAGAAACCTGCGTTGCGAGAAATGCGGGCGGCAGAACAGAAGGAGAAGCCCTCTCTGGCATGGTTGTGAAAAAGTAGCCTGTCTGTGCATTGTCGCTACAAGCACACCGTCTGACAGTGTATTGCTGGAAACATTATAACCCCATTCTTCACTTAAACCGGACAAAGTCAACATGTTAGTTTTTCTGACAAATAATTTAAAATAGGCTATGACTACAAAAGGTGGAGAGAAACTATGTTTTTTTTAAACATCTGACTTATATTGTTACTAGGTTAATATTTTCTTTTTACTTATAATTATGAATATTTATATTATTATTACACTGATTAGTAAAGTGCCATTTAGACTATTTGTTAAGTTCTTAAAAATGTAACGTTTAATTGTTATTATACAGTTTCAAGCAGTTAAAGTAATTTAATATTTAACTACAATATTTAATAACAGTTTTGTGTTGTTTTATTAACGAAAGTTCACAAATAAACATGTACGTTTATACAGATGTTTTATTTATTAATATTAAATTCGGTTATTCCTTAATTTTTACATAAAAGGTAAATTAACTGAAGTAGGCTACATTATTTGTTGATGTACGAGATTGAGGAACATGTTTGCCAGTAAATAATGTTCGCACCACTTAAAAGACAAAACAAATAAATAACTTGCGAAAAGGATGCAATAAAAAATGCAAGCGCTTAATCATTCTTCACAATCGGATTCGTACGTGCAAAAAGCCGAGGCTATATTGCGCTGACAAGAACAAGCCCTAAAACTAAATCTAGAGAGAGAATTAATACTAGTTAATATTAATGATTATAAACACGAACTGCGTTGTATGATAAACGCATCACAATGATGTCGTGATCTTTGCTGAAGAACTGATATGTTATCGCCGTCTCCCCAGCCTGCTTTTTTCCCCTTCTTCTGGATAAAAACAATAAAGTATCAGCGCTAGACCAGTGGTTTAAATTATATTTTACTCTCCTGATTTCTTTTCATTAAAAAATAAATAAATGTTTAAAGTTTTGTATTGCATAGCCTATATTTGTAAAAGCAAATCCCCTTTACTCATGCTACCCATTTCATTTATTACACTGTAAACTTGACTTGGCAGGCTGATCATCTTTAAACTCAAAAGGTGTTTTTAACTTGAGACTGCATGCTTCTGCATAATGTGATGTTTCTTATTACAACTGTTAGTGGTGTCAAAATGAAAGCAAACATTAAAAAGGGTTTTGTTTTATCAATTGTATAGTTTAGTTTTAATAATAGCTAATGTATATAATAAATTATAATATCGATTATTGTGTAGACTACAGTGTTTAACAAAACAATTTTATTAGGTTACTCTAATAGACCAAATCCGTAACTGAAAAACGAATGTGAAAATGACAGGCAGTTGCGTCTTTGCTAAAATTAATTTAATGACAAATTTCTTTAGCTTTTTTCCCCTTTAGAGATCAAAAGAGCTGTATTTAAAGAATTATTTCACTAAAACATGAATTGAATGGCCAGTTCTTTCCCGTGTGAGTGTAGTGCGCCTCCGCCGCGTCTGCGTTTTTAAGGTTACAGGTGCACGCTGACCTGACGCCGGGACCAGATCTCTGTATTGCTTTAATTTCTCAATTTTCATAACTGCATTGCATTTTCATATGGTAAAATATCAAAATTTATGTTCTGAAAGTAGTAGGAATGACGGGAGTGTTAGTAATTAATAACAGAAAGAACTTTCACTTTTGAGTGTACTTCTGTCACGTGTTATTTTAGTATGATAAAATAAACAAAAATAGTAATGCAGAAAAGTATTTTTCGCTCTGCCAAGCCTTCTCTGTTGCTGTATAGAGAAGCAGCCTGCTCAGTCTCCTTACCCCGGCCCCACCCCGCCCACCGACTCCTGAACGTCTCACTCACTAACTCACTCAGTCACGCGGGCATGCACTGCCGTCTCATGAGGAAACGCAGCTTTTTGATATAATGTTTTTCTTGTTCCCAAATACAAATAATTTATCAAGTATTGTTTGAAATAAGTATTCGTAAAAACACGCTATTCCTGCTTTTCCGAATACCGTATTCCGGTTCGGCTCCACCCATATAATTTTTATTTTATTTTTTATTTTTTGCATCGCACCCTCCTGCGATATGACTATCGCGGATGCGCACATCGCGATTTCGATGCTGAAACGATATATCGTGCAGCCCTAATTGGTTTATTTCATTATTATTTTTTATTTAATTTTGTTAATGTTTATTTTATTTCTGACTTTTATGTTTAAATTAGTTTTATTGGTTATTTTAGAATTATTTTATTGTTATTAGCTTTATTTTATTCTTTAACTTTTTTCTTCTGTTTTTATTACTTTATTTACTTTTATCGCTTATTTGATTGCTTAAGTTTTTCATTTTATTTATATTTTTATATATTTATATTTTTATATTTATATTTTTATATTTATATTTTTTAGCTTATTTTAGCTTTAATAATTGCAGTGTTTATACAATTCAATCTTTATTTATACATGAATATGTATACATATTTAACCATGTTATTAGAAATGCATGTGTGTCAATAACAGGAATACAACTATGAAGTAATGTATATGACTAGCTAGAATAAAACACAATGAAATGTTATTACATCAAATTTAAAAGCTCAAACATTAAACAAAGTTCACAATAAAAAACAAACTCAAAGGAATACAAATTTTAATATAGATCAACATCAAAAGTTAAAACACTAAAAAGCTGAATCAATATAAAGTTCATCAAAATGTTAAACTGAATTAAAATACATCGGTATTACATCAAATTTAAACTCAAACACTAAACAATTGACTAAGTTCTGAATAACACAATCACAAATGAATAAACATTTAATATAGATCAACAGCTAAAGTTAAAACACTAAACATTTAAGGCAATTTGGAGTACATCAAAATATTAAGCAGAATAAAACTTGAAAATGGTTTTGTATTACATCAAAAGTTAAAACACTAGCAGTTAAATCAATTTAGAGCACATCAAAATGTTAAACTGAATCAAAATACATCGGTATTACACCAATTTTAAAAGCTCAAACACTAAACAAATGACTAAGTTCGTAATAAAAAGAAAGCCAAAGGAGTACAAATTGAATATAGACCAACAACTAAAGTCGATTAAAATAAGAAACGTAAGTCAAGTATAACATTTATCAGAGTATAAAATATGGTCTTTTAAGTAGTACAATGATGAACGATCGTACAGATGATGAGAATATTCCTTTTAGGAATTATTCATCCATCAATGAATGGCTAATAAAAATGAGTAGTGTCGTTATTAACAGATGTTCCCGTTCACTTTTACCCATCAATTGCTGAAGCTCGGCAATTTTTTCATCCATACGTCGCTGTTGTTTAGACAAGAAATCCTTGACATTTTCTATCACACGCTGCTGCTGGCCAATAGAATACGATAGAGCATTAATTTTTACCCCATATCCGTCCAGATATTCACGAATTAGACAATAAGCAGGCGACTCGAAAAAGTCTTTGTTATTGTTGTGATTGCTGTCGCTACCGGCCTCCTGATTCTGCTGGGGCCACTGTGGTCTTTCGACGTCTTCCGGGTCTTCTTTCGATGTCTTCCGGGTCTTCTTCTTCTTCTACTGGTGCTTGAAAAGGGTAAATCGGATGATGTGCGCCTCCCTGACTTGATTCATGATGACTACTGTTGGAAGCATCTTGTTCGCACCATGGATCTGTATTAAAAATAAATCAAAATATTGTTTAGTCTTGAGCGACAAATAATACTTAACAATAAAATATTCATTTGAAATTTTAATATAAACCACTTAAAGGACATTATATTGTCATAATCAATTAAATAAATGGATCACTAACCTTCAGATAAATTAAAATTAATAACAGAAGGATTTGGTTCTGATGGACTGGCATAAGGACTTAGTGGGCTAGCAAGAGGTGTCCATGGATCTGTGTGTGAAAATATGAAAATAATATCATTACGGGTGTTATTAAGTGATTGAAACAAACAAACAAAAATAGGATATTACCTGATTCTGCGTCTTCATCATCATCCTCATCGGCATCGTATTCTTCTTGCACAACAGTTTCAGAAATTTTTTGCCTTTTATTTACATATGGTATGTAAACAATTCTTGGTCTCTTAGGGACAGAAGTCCCCGGCGCTGCATCAAACTTTTCTTCTCGCAATGATTCTTGTTGCTCTGCAATCTTTTCTTCTTCTTCTTCCACCGTCAAGTCGATAACTTCAATTGTCGCTAAAATAGGAGAATGACAAAAATAAATAAATACAAGTTATTACTCATTCCTACAGTAAAAAATAGTGATCCCACATTTGTCAGTGCAGTGGCCTATGCATAGCGCATTCGACCGGAGACCGAAGCTTCTCTCAACACCAGGGGCCTCATGTACGAAGACTTGCGTGGAAATCTTACTAAAACATTGCGTACGCACAAAGCTGTAAATGTGCGTACGCAGAAAAAATTCAGATGTATGAAACACTGCGTACGCCGAATCTCACGCATATTCTTTTGTACATCCGAATGAACGTGAAACTGAGCGCAACATGCACGAGCACAAAACCCCTCCCTGCCTCCTCCCCCGTATAAATATGCTAATGACTATTGTGCTGATTCGCCTTTATTTAATTACCCTAATTAAATAAAGTTAAAATCAGGATCCTCCCTTCGCTATATTTCTTAGCTAGAGTTTAGTTAAAGGATCGTCTTTAAAGAATGTATTTTGCAAAAGAATAAATTAGATCATACTTTACCACACAGGGTAACTTTGATGGGTTCTGGAAAATGAATTCAATGTCCACTCCAGTGAAGAAAAGTAATAAAATACACTTTTATTAATAAAACAAAATCCAGTGAAAAAGTAGAAAACAAAAGACAAATAATAGAAACAAAATCCTTACTTTATTCTCCGGTGAGAATAAAGGGCCTACAACTCCCAGTATACAGAAGTCAGAAAGCGCAAAGCTGAAGAGTACAAGTCAGCTTTTATACTCAATGTCTCATATAAAAGTGTTCATAAAACCTGCAAAAACTGCTTAACTCATACATTCAAGGAGCATGCTAAATCACTTGAACAATACGAAGACAGATATATGAGTACATAGAAATCAATACATGGGCCTCTTTAATATCAGCCTCACTTCCCTCAGTTATGCCCCAGATTTAGGTGTTCGAGCTCTGCAAGGAGCTGGGTAGAGAGCTCGGTAGAGGTACGAGGAGGGGGTTCATTTAAAGTACAAGGGAGGGGGTAGCCTGAGGTACCTAAGGGTTCACAGAGAGTTCGTCCAGCTGGTTTGTTGATTCAGCGCGCCCTCTGCCGGAGCCGCCTGTTCTGTCTCTTACGTTTCACTTTATCACTAAGAGTTGTGCTTTTACGCATAGGAATATCAGAATACATCAGTGATCTTTTGTGTCTCACATGATTAATGTCATCTGACCCATCAACCATCACACCCCCTCTTGACATTCTCAATTGAGACATAAAATAATCATTATCCAATTCATCTAGTACACAAGATCCATATATACACTGTTCTAGAGGTATAGCCCATCCATCAAAGCCAATTGACCAAAGATTAAATTTCTTTTCCCTTTTTTGGTATGAAAGTTGGACAGTTAGTAAGTTACTCTGTCCCAGGGAGGTCAGTAGTCTCCTGCCAATCATCCTCATCCTTGAGAAGGGTCGAGCAGATGAAGTCAAGTTCGGCAATTGGTCCCAGGGCAGTCTGAGAATCAGACGATCCGTCAACAGAATGTCCTCCAACTTGGAACAAATCCATTGATCCTGCTTCCAAGCCAGAACTTCGATCTGAGAATTTCACATATAAAACACCAGCTGATGATTTAACTCCCATTAACACTTCTCCATTAACCCAATAGGGGTGGACAAAATACTTTGCCCTTCCTCGCCCCTTGTAAGTAATAACGGGTTTCCATGGCATAATTGACGTACCCACTGCACTTGTTAAAGTTCTTAGTAAAGGCTGTAAATAGCTATCACTCCAACAAAGTATATAATGGATCTTGTTGAAATCCTGCCCCCCAAATATGAAACAGTCAATACAACAAAATTTCCTAACACCGTTTAGGTGCCAATATATCTTGCATGCTGCTCGTCTCTGATGGTCGCAGTCAGGACTCATTCTGTAGGAGTTTTAGTGGATCAGAATTCAATTTACCTGTGCATAGTCTGCTCCCGACACAACGATACCAGTAGGTCCATAATTGTTGTTTTGAGATGCCATCTTAGAAGTTTTTCAGCTTCAAAATCAGGAGTTAGGTCAAAAGACTTTTCCTCAGCTCTGCCGTCTTAAGTTTGCATCTAAGCTACAGGATGGTGAGTTTATATCATAGAGGACGGCCTCGCAGTATGCCTTTGTCAGCTTGCTAGTTTGACCTCAGCTTCATATATTTTCTCCTTGTGCACAGACAGCTGAGAGCTCCTAATGAGCCACACAATTTTACTAGCTTCAGGGAGATAGAAATGAGTAATATCACTGCGATTATACATCCTATGATAATCAGAACTAGTTTTACCCATCTCCACCAGCTCACTATGGTTCGTTTAATAATTTCAACTGTTGTTCCTGCACCCAGGCTAAATATTATGCCTGCATTTTGCAAAGTCTTTTTAATCTTTACAATTGTTGGAACCTCATAGTCTTCGATGTCTAATGCTGATATCCAATTGTGCACAAAATGCCAATTAGGACCCAAACTTACTCCTTCAATATAATCATCGATTAATTGAACAATTTTTCTTTTAGGGTTATATGGTTCCAGCCCAATTGAAGCACAATGTTTTTTAACTTGGTTTTCGTACTTCGCCACTAGAGGGAGTACTGACACAAACATTGCATGCCAAGGGATGGAGCAGTTAATTTTGTCACACTTATCCCTAATCTTTCCAGTTATGATAGAATATTTTTCCCAAGAGCAGAAGTTATTTTCTCCCTTTAATAATCGTATCTCTTCTCCTTGTCGAGCATACGGTGAAATATATTTATAAGTCCAATTATTAAAGATATCTGGATCACACTCTTGTAACTCAGCCCCTATTAGGCTTGCAGTATTGTTTAGTTCATTGTCTTTATACAAATTCCATTTGAATCCACTAAAACCCATATTTAAGGTAGATTCGCCCTTCCAGGGTTCATTAGTAGAGTTTCCATATGAAACATCAACCAAATTTCTGGTGAAAATTGTTTTTCTAAAATTTGTATAAAAGAATCCTAACTTATTAAATTGATGGCGATAAGCTCCCATGAGCTTATGGCTAAAATCGAATTTAATGTAGAACTTATTATGCCATAGGCCGTGCACACTGTCCACCAAACCTATATGGACCGGGCTTGGCCTAGTTTTATATTGCGTTACTGACATCATTTCCCATTTATATACATATAAAGCTAGAGCCATTCCATATTGTTGATCCGGAATAGATTTAATAAAATCTGTTATTCCACTTTTATTAGCCAAATCTTCTGGCATACCATGACTGCTATCTAACAGCAAGGGGTGTATTCCTCGATTTTCTAGCCAATTTTTGTCAATGAAACATTTTATGGTTTGACAGGTTTCATTTAGAACCCTTTCTTCTCTAAGGCCCATATATCTGACATAATCTTTCCATTTATCAAATATTACACTTTCATATTGATCCATCTGATCTTCATCATAGAGTGACTGACCCTCTATGTAGCAATACCAATAACTGGCTTTAGTCAGATCTGTACAATATTTTACCATATTGTGTTGGAAAAAGGATGCCCATGAATCTGGTTTTAATGATCCGTATCGTTTAATAAGAAATTTAGCCCCCGTAGCGCCAAAAGGCCTCATTCCTAATTTATAAATGCAATCTCTTTCACTATCGCAATATTTTCCTTGGGTGAAATGCTTTTTACATGTTACCCATTCTAACTCCTCATAAGGGATTACTGGTTTTGTCTTATACACACCTAATATTAGGTGACTACTGTTCAAATCGTCAGGCCAATATGTCACATGTCCTTTAGCTCCCGCCATTAACCAATTTGTTAACCTGCGTTTTCTCGAGCTGTCATTACCTGTTTCTGACAATATACCCTCTCTACTTATTCGGCTAGTGTGTAGGCCTCTAAGTATTTTGTCATTTCTGGGTACAGAAATGGAGTCGGACATTATCCATTGTTTAGCGTCTGTCAAATTCGGCCAACAATGTCCTACTGATTTGCTTACTTCAACTCCTAATTCCAAACTCCAGACGCTTAGGCTGCTTTTGTTAGTCCACATAGTCTGGTTTTTATTTAGGATTTCAAGCCCAATCAGTTTTACATGGGATGCATTTAAAACTATAAGCCTATCCCATTTATACCGTACCTTATTATTAATCAGACCATTATATTTGGATGGTATGAATAAAGCACTTGGGTTCGAATGATTACATACCCAAAATTTGTCGTCAATATTTCTGATGTACGATTTCATCATTGTTACAAAATCACTACTATTGTAGGTTTTATTTTTCACAGTTATTTCCTGATTTGGACATACCCATTTTTCTGTTTTCTCAACATGTCTACATACATGTCGGGTTTCTTCTGTGCTTTGAGTTTGTATCTCAAGTCCTCTGAAAATTAAGCCTAATACGATTAGGAGTAAAGAGCTAGTTATTAGTATACTCATCACAGCATCTTTAATCTGTGACTCCGTACACTTCCTGCTGGCCCTTCCTCTCTGCTCCGGCTCCCCTTTCTCCATGCTTCCTGTAACAGAGAACAGAGACAAACTCGTTTCATATCCTAATCTGTCCCTCGACTGAATTTTTTAGAGATCCACTTTTTTAATATTGCTAATTTATTTCCTGATTCCATATCCAAGTTATCTTTTGATCTATTCAGATAAACATTTATTCCCTGAATACATTCACCAATACCCAGGTAACTTCCTGTTAAATTTAACAGAACAGTTAAATCCAGAATTTCTATCCTAGATTTATCCTCATCACTCGGTTCACGAGTCATTAAATGATATGGTTGTGTGGATCTGATTATTTTGAGTTTTGCTGTCCCTTCTCTAAAGGATTGTGAAGATCCATAAACTGAGATGTTTGTTTCAGTGAAATAACTGGGTTCGTCTTTCGGTTCGCATACTTTGATGCATTGATTAAATGTCATTTCTTTTGCTTTAATTATTATAGCGTCAGAAAGTTCACATTTAAACCACTCACTGTCATGCAAAAGCCATACACATGCTCCTAAGCCACCTCTCTTGTGGCTGACATGTTTGTGCAACTGCATTCTGACAGCGGTCTCCCATCCACCTAAGTGAGTGAGATATATCAGGCCATTCCGAAAACTCTCGTTTCCGTTCAAAGACTCCTGTCCGCCTGGCAATCCTCCAGGGCAAAAGGACAGTTCTCTGAGTCTTTGGGCCATCCATTTTGAATCTGCATTTGTCATTAGGGACACTGGGTTTATGTCCCACATTGTCA